TATAAACATATATATAATAATAAACATACATATATGTATTACCATATATATATAATACGTATACACATATCTATATATATCATATAAATATATACATATATTTAAATATTAATGGTAATAACATATATTATAATAAATATTTAATTTCTTTAATAATAATATATATAATTATATATATTATAAGATTTTTTATATAGCTTTTTATATAGATATATATATATATTAGTTAACTATATTATATTTATATATAATATATATATATATGTATATATTATAATGTATAATATAGTTATATATTATTCATATACATATATATTATAAATACATATATTAATTTAGATACAAATTATATTTATATATTAATATAAATAATCATTAATCTTATATATATAATTACATATCTATAAATATCATATATTATATAATATAACAATATATAATAATATACTATTAATTTATATATTATATCTAAATATATATATACACCACATATATATATATATTATATATATATCTATATATAACTATACCCACACACAATATTATATAAAGCATATCATATACACAAATATATATTATCTAATTATATTATTTTAGATATATATATATATATTATATTCTATAATATAACTCACCATTAAATATTATATTATTTATATATAATATATATTTATAATTATATCTATATATATATATAATATTACACCTAATTAATATATATTATTTTTAATATTAATATATATATATATATATTAATATATATACACACATATAAATTCATATATATATATATATAATACATATATATAATATATAATACATATTATATTATCTCTATATACATATCTACATATATATATAATTTATTATAATAATAAATAAATTAATATATAATAATATATAACATTATAAACATATATATATACATTAATATATAATATATGATATATTATATTACATAAATATATATATATATATCCATATTTAATACATATATATCATATCAAATAGATATATATAATATTATAAAAGTACCATATTATACATATATATATACACATAATATTATATATAATTATATAATATATAATATATATATATATATATATTATTTATATATATATTACACACATATATATATATATTATATATATAGTATATTATATATTCTATATATATATTAATAATATATATAATACACATATATATATATAATATAGTATAATATTATATATACATATAATATATATATAATATATATATATATACCACATGATAATAATAATATATAATATATAAGTTTATAATATATTATATTAGTAATATATATAACATAGATAATAATATATACCATATATCATTATATACATATTATAATATATTTATATATTTAATACCCATAGAATACAGATTATATCTTATACATTATATATATATATATATATACATATATAATATACAATAGTAATATAATATTAATATAATAATATAATATATATATATATATATTATCTATCACCTATAAATACATTATAATAACCATTTAAATAATAACTCTATTATATATATATAATATAACGTTAATATACATCTATATATATATCAATATATTAGATATATACATAAATATATATATAATATGATTATATACATATTATATATTATATTTAACTATTATTACAAATATAATTTTCCTGTGATAATAATATACATATATAATATACCATAATATATTATATATATACATATATTATAAACCACATATAATAATATATCAATCATATCAATATATTTACAATATTATATTATAATTACCAATAAATATTATATATACATAATATATATATTATAAAAACTAGTATAATATTAAAAGTAACAGTTAATAATATAATTATATACCAATATATATTAATAATAATATATATATAAAACATATTATATATTTTTATACAATATATATTATACATAATATATTAATATATATAATATATATATTATATATAATCAGACTTATATATACATATATGATGATATCCATATATGAATTTATAATAATACATATATATCTATATATAATAATATATATTTATATTATAGATATATTATATATGTACATATATAAATATACATTTATATATTACATTAATTATTTAATATGAATTATATTATTATACCATTAATATATATACTATACATATTTGTTAATATATCAATATATGGTTAGAGTAATTCATATGTAGAATTATAAATAATAATACATTGTTAGAATTTATACATATATGTATATATATAATAGATAATATATACTACTTAATATAATATATTATTAATATATATGTAATATGAATATATAATACTATTATATATACTATATTATTAATTATTACAATACATATATATATCTAGTGTAATCTGGTTCTATATATAACTAAGTATATATATATAAGATTTATATGTAATATATGATATTATTAATATATATTGATTCTATAATATGGTCAGCCTATTAGTATTCATGGTTGGGTTGTGTGTGGTGGTTGTGTGTGTGTGTGGGATGTGGGGGGGGTTGGTGTGTGGTAGTGATGGGGGGGTGTGGTTGTTGTTGGTTGGTGGGTTGGTGGTGTATGTAGATTATTAGTACTATGTAGATATAAATAATATTATATG